AAAGGATAAAAAACAAATATGGCAATTACCACAATAAATGTGAATGGGCTAAATTCCCCTATTAACTTTGAAGTTCAAATTGGAGAAGAAAGAAGGAGAGAGAGAGAGAGAGAGGAAGGGAGGGAAGGAAAGAGGAAAGAAGGAAGAGAGAAAATCTTGCTTTATACAACCACTTAGGAAAACCACTTGGCTCTCTCTATCTACTAAAGCTAAATAAATGCCTCCTCTATGGTCCAGCAGTTCCACTCCTGGGTGAGCACCCAAGAAAAATGAACACATGTTTCCACCAAAAGGCGTGTATAAGAATGCTCATAGCAGGGTTATCCAAGATAGCCCCAGACTAGAAACAACCCCAATGTCCATCATTGGTAGAATGGATCAATAATTCATGCAGTAGACTGCTACAGAGCAAAGAAAAAAGAACAAAAAATATGGATGAATCTCTCAAACATATTATTAGGAGAAAAAAAACAGATACAAAAGCACACATATTGCGGGATTCAATTTACATGAGGTTCAAGAACAGACAGAACGGACAAGAACAGCAGAAGTCAGAGTAGTGGGTAACTCTCGGAGGGGCACGAGGGAGCCTCCTGGGGGAGGGAGCAAGAAGCGCTCTATTCAAGTGTGGGCTGCATGGGTGTGGATCTGCAAAGAACGTGATCGAGTCATCCACTTAAGATTAGTGCACTTTGCCCACTCTTCTGGATGTTTATTACACCTCAATAAATGTTTTAAACCAGTTATACTATTTATAAAAAAGACACATCTAAAATAATAGGAAAAGAAATGCTGAAAAGAAACCAACTTGCTTGAGAAAAAAAGAAAACCCTAAAGAAATACATTTCAAGACCAAATAGAGCCTCCCTTTGTTACCTGCTCTTTTGGACAGCACTTCCGCACTCCGGGGGAGTTATCGGCAGATCCTTAAGAGGGGATGTCAAAAATGTCAAAGTTCCCGCACCTGGGCCCCGAGTCCAGGCTCCTCCGGCCTCCACCCAGGGAAAATCTACTCTCCTCACTCCTGGACAGAAGACAGTCTAAGTTCCTTCATTGAACACTGAGTAGGCACCTACTGTATGCACCACACCGCCCAGGTGAGTCCTTCCCTCCCCTCCCCACCATTCTGCACACAGAAGCTGGTCTAACCATCTGCTGATGCATTTCCCTTTGGCCGCTTGAACCCCTCCCTCAGCGATGTCTCCCAACGGGGTCCCAGGGCCACTTGGGAAGGGTCTGGCCCCAGTGAGTCAGCCACTGCAAAGAGGCACGGGCTCAAAACAGGCTGCGCCCACTCTGCAGACTGAAGTGTCGGGCCCACGCCACCTCTTGTGCTTTCACACCCTTGCTGTGGCCTGGCCGGGGGTGGGAGGCGCTTTCCTGCTCCTTGACCTTGAGGTTGTCCTTGTGATCTGATTTAGCCAATGGTGTATGAGCAGAGGTGACAGTCGGCCGGGTCCCGAGGGGCCCCATATGCTCTGCTCACCCTCTGGTGCCTCTGTCACAGAGACGCACGCCCCAGTTAGCCCGTTAGCCAAGGAGGATGAGAGACACGTGGGCTGAGCTGGCCCAGCGGCCACAGCCAAGCCTCAACTGACCCACGAAGTCAGGGGAAGAAATCACTGTTCTAAGTCGCTGAGTTTAGGGGTGATCTGTTACACTACACTATGGTGGCAATAGCTAACCGATACATCCGGTCACTCAAGAACCACGTGATAGGGACCACGTGAGGGCATAGGAGCTATTACGGCCACACAGAGGAGGGCGAGGTGATGTGAAAGAGGTGTCAGGAAGCATCCCGGACGCGGTAGCTCCATACGCTGGCGGGCTATTGTATGTCAGGCGCTGTGCACACCGTCTCTCGTTACCCTCATCGATGTCCCTGCAGGGTAGATGCTGGGATCTGGCGATGCTGAGCCTCTTCATTCCCACGTGACAGCAGGCAGCTAGAGTCGAGCTGTGTCCCATGACTGTTCCGAGGGGCATCCTCTGTGCCGTTCACCACAGCCCCCTCCCCCTCCCTGTCACCTCACCACCGGCCACTCCTCTACGCCATCTGCCTGGCCCTTTCCGGCCCTGGAGTTTGAGATCCCTGTTCTACAGGGTCCCTGAACCTCTACCAGCCCCGCAGCAAGTGTCTCTCTGTCTTTTGAGGGGGACAACTCCCCAAGGCTGCCCGTCCTCTCTCCAGAGAGACCAGAAAGCTGAACTGGGGAACAGGAGAAACGGCAGAGGGAACGCGGCTAGAAGACAAGAGGGCCAATGGCAGGTTGGAGCGGGGACTCCAAAGGGAGGAAGTGAACCCCCAGCCCCCCAGGAGACAGACAGGAATGTCCCAGAGGCCAGGAGATGCCCTGTCTCCAGAGGGCGGTATGTCAGCAGGTGCTGCCCAGGGGCCAAGCAGAGGATAGCCAGCAAGACCCTTCCTCTGCCAGCAGGACGGGGCCATGACCTTTGGCACAACTGCTTCCACAGCACAGCGAGAAGCCAGGCTACTAAGGGCCTTTATTTATTTATGTTTTCAATTATTTTATTGAGGTCATATTGGTTTATAACATTGTGTAATTTCAGACGTACATTATTATAATTCACTTCCTGTATAAACCGCATTGTGAACACCACCAAAAGTCTAATTTTCACCCATCACCATATATATGTGCCCCTTTACCCCTTTCGCCCACCCCCTAACTCCCTTTTCTGGTAACCATTAATCTGTTCTCTGTGTTTATCTTCTACATATGAGTGAAATCATATGGTGTTTGTCTTTCTCTGTCTGGCTTATCTCACTTAACATAATACCCTCAAGGTCCACCCATGTTGTTGCAAATGGGACAATTTTATCTTTTTTTTTTTTTTTTTTTGATGAGGAAAATTGGCCCTGAGCTAACATCCATTGCCAATCTTCCTCTTTTTGCTTGAGGAATATTGTCCCTGAGCGAACATCCGTGTTAATCTTCCTCTATTTTGTATGTGGGACACCACCACACAAGGCTTGATGAGCAGTGTGTAAGTCCACACCTGAGATCTGAACCTGTGAACCCCGGGCCACCAAAGCAGAGTACATGAACTTAACCACTATGCCATCGGGCTGCCCCACAATTTTGTCCTTTTTTATGGCTGAATATTCTATTGTTTATATACACCACATCTTCTGTATCCATCCATCAGTCGATGGGCACTTAGGTTGCTTCCACACCTTGGCTATTGTAAATGATGCTGCAATGAACATAGGGGTCATGGATCTCTTTGAAGTGTTGATTTCAAGTTGTTTGGACAAATACCCAGTAGTGGGATGGCTGGGTCATATGGTGTTTCTATTTTTAAGTTTTTGAGGAATCTCCATACTGTTTTCCATAGTGGCTGCACCAGTTTGCATTCCCACCAGCAGTGTATGAGGGTTCCCTTCTCTCCACATCCTCTCCAACGTTTGTTATTTTTTGTCTTGTTAATTACAGCCATTCTGACAGGTGGGAGGTGATATCTCATTGCAGTTTTGATTTGCATTTCCCTAATAATTAGTGATATTGAACATCTTCTCATGTGTCTGTTGGCCATCTGTATATCTTCTTTGGAGAAATGTCTGTTCACATCCTCTGCCCATTTTTTGATCAAGTTGTTTGATGTTTTGTTGTCGAGTTGTATGAGTTCATTATATGTTTTGGAGATTAACCCCTTGTCGGATACGTGATTTGCAAATATTTTCTCCTATTGATGGGTTGTCTTTTCATTTTGTTCGTGCTTTCTTTTGCCTTGCAGAGCTTTTTAATCTGATGTAGTCCCAGTTGTTTATTTTTTCTGTTTGCCTTGCCTGAGTAGACATGGTATTTGAAAAGATGCTGCTAAGACTGATGTCAAAGAGTGCGCTGTAGGGACCGGCCTGGTAGCGCAGGGGTCAAGTGCACATGTTCCGCTTTGGCAGCCTGGGGTTCACCAGTTCGGATCCCGGGTGTGGACATGGCACCGCTTGGCAAGCCACACTGTGGCAGGCATCCCACATATAAAGCAGAGGAAGATGGGCACGGATGTTAGCTGAGGGCCAGTCTCCCTCAGAAAAAAGAGGATTGGCAGATGTTAGCTCAGGGCTAATCTTCCTCAAAGAAAAAAAAAATTAGTGCACTGCCTATATTTCCTTCTAGGAGTTTATGGTTTCAGGTCTTTAATCCAAGTCTTTAATCCACTTTGAGTTTATTTTTGTGTATGGTGTAAGATAACGGTCTACTTTCATTCTTTTGCATGTGGCTGTCCAGTTTTCCCAACACCATTTATTGGAGAGACTTTCCTTTCTCCATTGTATGCCCTCAGCTCCTTTGTCAAAGATTAGCTGTCCACAGGTGTGTGGTTTTATTTCTCGGCCTTCAATTCTGTTCCATTGATCTGTGCACCTGTTTTTGTACCAGTACCATGCTGTTTTGATTACTGCAGCTTAGTAGTATGTTTTGAAGTCAGGGATTGTGACGCATCCAGCTTTGTTCTTTTTTTCTCAGGATTGCTTTGGCTACTCGGGGTCTTTTGCTATTGCATACAAATTTTAGGATTCTTTGTTCTATCTCCATGAAGAATGTCATTGGGATTCTAATTGGGATTGCATTGAATCTGCAGATTGCTTTAGGTAATATGGACATTTTACCTATGTTTATTCTTCTGATCCATGAGCATGGAATCTCTTTCCATTTATTTACGTCTTCTTTGATTTCTTTCAATAATGTCTTAAAGTTTTCAGTGTACAGGGCTTTCACCTCCTTGGTAAAATTTATTCCTAGATGTTTTATTCTTTTTGTTGCAGTGGTAAATGGGGCTAAGGGCTTTTTTTTTTTTTTTTAAAGATTTTATTTATTTTTTTTTCCTTTTTCTCCCCAAAGCCCCCGGTACATAGTTGCGTATTCTTCGTTGTGGGTTCCTCTAGTTGTGGCATGTGGGACGCTGCCTCAGCGTGGTCTGACGAGCAGTGCCATGTCCGCGCCCAGGATTCGAACCGACGAAACACTGGGCCGCCTGCAGCGGAGCGCGCGAACTTAACCACTCGGCCACGGGGCCAGCCCCAGGGCTAAGGGCTTTTTTAAAAGACCAGAAACAGCTCCTGATGGCTCAAAACCAGGAGCGTGAAGGCCGCGTGGTGGCACTTCCGGCTTTGTCCTGGTGCCGACTTGTGTACACCCGGAAATACAGCACAGAAAGTGGGTTCTCCATTCCTTCCAGAAATTTCCTCAAATTGGGTTGTTTCCTCCACTTTTCCCCAAGTCACTACAGTCTGCTTTGCTCCACATTCTTTTGTACAAAAGAGACCGAGGTCCATGAATAGGGTCGGGAGGTTTCCCAGAAAAAAAAAAGGCGCTTTAGTCTTTGGCTTCCGTAGCTGCGGGATCGTTGCTCCTTAAGTACCTGGGTCCATTGTTTCTTATCGGGGCAAATCCCAGAAGAAGAGACCAAAATGCTGCTCAGACTCCTCTGCCCCAGATATCGGAGCCCCTTGGGGAGCAAGGACACCAGCGGAGCCAAAAGTAGGACAAGACGCAGTGTCCAGTGCAGTCTCTGTGCAGGGCCAGGCTTGTCGTATTCCAGAAGGTGCTAAAATATCCTCGACTAATGGTTCTCAGAAAACGACAAAGGAACCTCAATTGCGCTGCGTGAAATCGCCTCTCCTATTCTCTCATGGTCTGTGGGTGTCCCAGGCCTGCCTTTCTCTCAGTCTCTCTGTCTCTTCTCCTCTCCAGTCCACCAAAAATCCCCCCAACCTCTGGGGCAGCTCCCACCCTGTCCTCGACTCTCTTTCCTACCCTCCCAATTTTGCACTGTGGAGTCTGGGAAACGACCCGGCAGAGACAAAGCTCATCTCAAAAGCCAGGGGTGGAGAAGTCAGCCCAGCCAGCACTGAAGTCCCGAGGTGGCAGGAAGAGGGGCAGGACCAGCCGGCAGCACTCACACTGGACAAGTTTCCTCTTTGACAAAAACGAGCCCTCGTTGTTCCACAGCGGCCAGAGGGCTAAAGGGCCTTACGTGGTGACATCCCACCCCACCTGCCAGGCTGTATCATTTAGGATGCTCTCAAGAAAAAGGGGAAAATGCAACCCAAAAGTCCAGAGGCGAGGCATGATCAGACAATGTCATCAAAAACGATGCTCTTAGCCTCTTCCTACATCAGGCCCTCTTATGGCCATCGGGTGGCCACCAGCAGCAGAGGGGGCCGCCTGGCTCCTTGATCACAATTAGTGGGAGAGGATCTGGGTGGGCTGGTAAGGCAGCTGGGCGGGAGTGGGGCTCCGATTGCTAGCAGTCGCCAATTTCTGTTGGGTAAATACTCCCACCGCAGCTGATTTCCAGCTACAACTTGACATCACAGTTGGAAAGACCCACACACGATAGCTTCTCAAAGCCAGTTCTGAGCAGCTCCAGCACACCACTGGGGGTACAGAAGCATCCTTCTCTAGACCATAAAATCCCCATGGAACAGAGGATGGGACAAGATGGACTGATTTAGACCAATCAGGGCCCAGCCATGGGCTGGGAGCAAGGTCGATTCCACCCAAATCATTGGGCAGCTGCACAGCACGGGCGGGAGGAGGGAGGAGCGGATGCTGGGAGAGGCAGACGTGATGGACACGACTGCCCTTCCTGGTATTCCCTTCCCAGCATGCCTGCCCAGTCGGCATCTTGCAGCTTCCAGCAGCAGCCCTGACACTGGCCAGTAGGCCCCCCCAACAGGGCGATGGTGGGCAGTGACCAATTCCTGGTTTGGGGGACAGTGCAGTCATGAGGCTGGAAGACCAAAGGACCTCATGGGTAAGCAGGGGCAGCAAAAGCCAACATCCCATAAAAGGTCCCAGGAACCACCTCACAGGCCTTCATCATGGCCGTGTGGCGAGCAGCCTGCCTACTGGACAACAGCAGCAGTCTGGCGACCTCCATCCAGGCAAAGGAGACAGCCAGGACCCCTCACTCCCAGTCTGCAAGCTCTGGCTCTCTTGGTCCATCTCCAAAACCCACTGAGGGTGGAAGAAGGTTCAAGACCGGGATCCCTGACCACCTCTGTTGTAGTTCACGATCGTGTTGTCAGGTGGCTCATTTTTCTTACACGCTCTGCCCGGCGCTTTGGGAAGCCTGACAGCTTGGTAAGATGTTGGCATCCCGGCCTTAACACAGCCCTCGAAGTCAGAGGTTCCAGCTCTGGGCTGTGACTGAAGACCTGGAAGGCCCCTCCACCACCCGATTCCTGGCCGGAGCCGCGCGGTGGCTGGAAGCGATGCTCCCCCATCGTCTGTGCAGAAACCTGTTTCTCTTTGCTGCCAGCAGAGCTAATTGCTGAGTTAATGGGCAGTGTGCTGTTAGGTGAAAAAGAGCGAGTTCTAAAACTGTATTTATGGTTTCACAATATTCTTGAGGAAAAGGAAATGTGTGTGTGTGTGAGTGCGAGGGTGTTGGAGGGGTGTCTGTGCAAATGCAAATGGACATAGGAGATGAGAACTGAGCAGGGGTTCTCATGGGGGGCAATTTTGTCTCCCAGGGGACATTTGACGATATCTGGAGACATTCTTGGTTGTCATCCTGGGGCCGGGGGTGGCGGTGCTACTAGCATCCAACGGGTGGAGCCCAGGGATGCTGCCAGACACCCTACAGTGCACAGGACAGCCCCACAGCAGAGAACGTCAGCCCAGGTGCCAATAGTGCCAAGGTTGAGGGGCTCTGGTCCCAAAGTGGGGTCCTCGGAGAAGCAGCATCAGCGTCACATGGGAACTTGTTAGAAATGCAAATTCTTGCCTCCTCCTGCCCCCCGCCCCAGACCCACTGAGTCAGACACCGTGGGGGCCCAGAGATGGGGGGTCCTCACAGGCCTCCAGGGGCTCGCTCCGGTTTGAAAGCACAGGTCTAAGAACGCACATGTTTTATCAATAGATGGGGGACAGTGACTTTTACGGTTTTCTTTTTCTCTGTAGTTTCTAGAACCTCTGTGTTTAAGCTGGTATTACCTTTGTGATCAAACTATAAACTAAGGTCTTGATTAACCAGCGATGCCAAGGTTTCCTTGTCAGGCGGGAAGAGAAAAGGAGGTTCCAAGACCCGCATGTAAATCCCGACTCAATTTAACAAACAAGCTGTGTGGCCTTGAACTAGCGAGCGAGGTGCTGGGGGCATCAGCTTGCTCGCCTGGGGAGTGGGCGTGAGGATGGTCCTCTCCCTCATGTTCATTGGGGGATGAGATGAAACATCACAGGCAAAAGCGCTAGAGCCGTTCCGGGTTCCTGGGAGGCGAGCGGGAAGTTCCTATCCCTGGGGTGGTGTGAACGGGAGGCGGCTGGGGACAGGAAGAGTCGCTGGAGAAGAGGAGGGCAGCTCCCACCCCACGAGGGCAGGGCTGCTGGATGAGGTCAGCTGGGTTTCGTCCTCCTGTCTCTCCAGCTCCCGAGTCCAGGAAGGAAGCCAGCTTAGCTCTCTTGCTTCTTGGAGCCCATTGTGATTGGACCAAAGCTGAAGCTTTCCCCAAACGGTCTCTTTCTATGAAAACTCAAACACAGGGAGCGATGACGCTGGGAGTGTTGGAGGGGCGGGGAGAAGAAAGCAAAGATCCCCACAGCCAGGGAAGAGCAGAGTCCACAGGGCCTCTGGGGAGTGAGGTCCCAGAGCCCCGGATTCATAGAACCAACCCAAGGAAGGGGATGGCCATGGCGTCCACAGAGAGGCTGCACCCTGACCCCAAGGGGCCATGGGGACCACAGGGCACGGCAAAGGGCATCCCCATGGTGACCACGTAGACCAGAGACTGGTCCCCAGAGCTGTGACGTCCCTGCGGCAGGGTTTGGAGAGGAGAAGCCACCGATGGCTGGGATAGGATTCCTTCCCATCCCACAGTCAGACTCAATGGGATGTAAGTAAAGCCGCGTCAGGGTTGACACTGACTTAAGTTTGTGAAACCGGATTCTTACCTGTTACACAAGCATGCCATCCCCTGGGGGAGGAATCATTGTGCCCATTTTACAGATGACAAAGTGAGACTCTCAGAGCCAGGCACCTCACCCCATGTCATACACGGAGCAGGCCCTTCCTGACCACACAACCCGAGGCTGTGGTGTCTCCAGCCCCAAGGAGGCCACCTCTAGGTGATGCTTCACGTCCCGGCTCCTCCCACACCACCCTCAGAGGCCCCTCGCCCACAGGGGCTGCCCCCACCAGCACCCCCCGTGGAGCTCCTGCTGCCCCCAGGAAGAGCTCATTTCCGGAGATGTAAAGATGAGGGAAAATGGCTCCAAAGCACCCTCTGGCCCACAGCAAGGCCACTCTCAGGGCTGTGCTGCCCCAGAAGAGGAAACCAACAAGGTAGCAGGTTTCCCCAGAAGTCATTCGTCTTCCATTTGCAATGGGGGCCGGGGGGCCGGGAATGTTGTGGAAACGACAGAACTCCCCAGGAAGCCAGCATGGGCAGGCCACAGGAAGATGCCCAGGATCCCCCCATCCACGGTGGGGCAGAGACGACCCTGCCTTAACGTGACCCAGGCGACGCTGGACCCCTGCCGTCCTAACCAGAGAGCTGGGAAGCACGATCGTTGTGGGTGTGACGTCCCCTCCCACATCCATGAGAGCCCGATTTGCTCAAGCAGCACCACTTCAGTGCTCATGTGCGTTCAGCCACTTTTTCTGGTGAGGGGGACGTTGCTTTTAGGGGCATTTCCTCCATGGATCCATTGACGCCGTTGAACACTCTTCTGGAACCAATGAAGTCTGTCCAGCATCGAGGAAAATGTCAGACTCAGGCCGGCTCCGCTGCCCAGCGGTACTGAGCCCAGCACTCATGCGTCTGGAGGCCAGCTCTGCAGCAGCCAGGCCTCAGCATCCTCATCCCCACCGCCCAGCTCCCGCTGGCGTCCACCTGGGCCACAGTCGGAACTCGGGAGCTACCCTGGGGTACAACATGAGTGGACCCTTTATACACATTTAGGTCCACTGAAAAAGTCAGATACACATGGCTAGAGGCGAATAATGATATAATACAAGTTTATACCCATCAGTAGATCATCTCCCAGTGGCCGGGCAAGGACAGACAATCTGGGGCCGATTCTGCAGGCAGACAGCAGGGGGAGCTTTGGACGACCGTGGACAAGTGACCCAACCCAGCTGGGCCTCCATTCCCACATCTGGGAAATGCGAGTGAAAACAGCGTCTGCTTCAGGGGGTTCTCTGAGGGGTTGTGAGAACCCGTGCCTACAGCTCCAGCCCGCCCCGTGTCACGTGTGGCCCCAAAGAAGTGCCCCTTAGATGCTGATTCTTGACGGCTCCAGGGAGGTCTTGCACCTCGGCCACCTCAGATCACGGTGTCTGAGCGCTGGACACAGTGTCATTGCTCGGTTTATTTCTGGAGCATTCGGCACTCAGGCCCGCCATCCCTCCACCCGGGACCAGGCGGGTCCACAGGCTGGAATCCTCGCGGATGAATCCCGGGACAGACTCCGAGCAAAGGCGTCCTGTGCTTGGAGCTCCAGGGAAGACAACTTCCCGTGTATTCCTCATCAAACACTAGGCTCCCATCGCGGCCTAAGGAGATTTGGGGGAAGGGCATGTCTTTGCGAGGAAGGGGAGGCCTCGTGAGAGGAAGGGGGTCCAGCAGAGGGAGCAGCGCCCCCTCCATAGGCTCCCCCAGCCCCTCGTCTCCTCCCTGGGGACCCATTTTGGTGCCTGCTCAACCGTCTGAGCTGGCTTAGAAGGTGGGAGCATCTGGCTTTTAGCAGGACAAAGAAATAATGATCCTCAGAGGGCCTGGCGATTACTTCCTGTTTCCTTGGAAACCACGTCTGCTGTCAGCTTCCTCAGCCTTCTTCTCTCTCTCCTGCCTTGATGTGGGCCACAAATCCAGGAAGGGCCAGGTCGCTGCTGTAACGGAGGCCACCAGTGAAGAGGAAAGGACTCACCATTCCCCTGTCTTTCCTCTAGGGCACCATACTTCAGGGTCACCAGGGAACCCTAAAGAATTCCTGCAAATAAATGAGAGGAATGATAAAATTGGAAAAGCACCATTTTGTAACTTCTAATAAAAATATTGATTCAGGCAATGATCACCGATGGTTGAAACATTTAGAGGAAAAGTTGATAGGGGTTCCGGTCCATAACAAGCCACCTCAAAGTGCAGTGGCCAACGACTTCAGATGACATCCTACATACAGTCTGAACTGACCAGGCTCGGCTGGGCAGTGTCATCCGGGGTCTCTCTGAGAGTCCGAGTCAGGTGGAGGCGGGGGCTGGAGTCGTTTAATCGTCATCTCCATCCATCATTATCACGTCTGATGCCTCAGCTGAGATGACACGAACAGCGGGACTGGCAGGACTCTCTCGTCGTGGGCCTCCCCACATGGCCAGCTTGGGCTTCCTCCCAGCATGGCGGTCTCAGGGTAGCAGACTTTACATGGCACCCGGCTTCCCACAGAGTGAGAGTTCTAAAAGACGAAGGCAGAAGCTACAAGGCTTCTTATGACCCAACCTTGGAAATCACAGGGTCACTCCCACCACATTCTAGGGTGGAAGGCAAGTCACTGAGCCAATCAGATTCAAGGGGCGGGGACCACAGACGGGCATGAACCCTGGGAGGCCTGGTCCCTTGGAGGAACATCTGTGGAGACCAGCTACCAAATGAGGAACTTAGCACGGAGGGGACCGTCGCTATCGGAACCCACAGATCATTTTTAGCATCGCTAGGAGAGGGACAAGCTGACTGTGTGTGTCTCTTGATACGGTGCAGCGGGAAGCCCCAGCGCCACCCACGGAGTGTTCTTGAAAAAAGAAAAATTGAATCTAATTCTAACTGAGCCTCTGAGGCTAACGTCCATTTCCAGAAAGTACAGGGGAAGGAGGATTCCAGAATGTGGAGCCATCCTCAGGAGCCATGACTAGATTTCTACTTAAGTCAATGGCATTAAATTAGAAATGAGAAGGGAGGGGCCAGCCCGGTGGTGCAGCGGTTAAGTGTGCATGTTCCGGTTCAGTGGCCCAGGATTCGCTGGTTCGGATCCTGGGTGCGGACATGGGACCACTTGGCAAGCCATGCTGTGGCAGGCGTCCCACATATAAAGTGGAGGAAGATGGGCACGGATGTGAGCTCAGGGCCAGTCTTGCTCAGCAAAAAGAAGAGGATTTGCAGCAGATGTTAGCTCAGGGCTAATCCTCCTCAAAAAAAAAAAGAAAAATGAGAATGGAGGGGACCACCTCTAGATTGGAAAGGCCTTAAGAGATCTTAAGACAAAACCCCCACACTCAGGCCCTTTCTGGGTCCAGACTCCACCAAACCAACCATGGCATAAAAAGACACTTTTGAGGCAAACAGGGAAATTGATTACGGACTGGGCATTAGATGATCCCAAGAGATTATTATTTATTCTGTTAGGTGTGATCAATGGCAGCTTTGTGGGTACGTAAGGAAATGTGTGTGTGTGTTTACAGAAATATATGGAAGTGAAGTTGCATTATGATCGAGATTTTATTTTAAATACTGCAACAGAAGGAAATAAAAGAGAGAGAGAGAGAAGAGGAAGCAAGTGTGGGAAATCTTGGTAATTGTCAAACCGAGGTGGGCGATGGGCTGATGGGTCTTTATTGTGCTCTTCTTTCCACTCGTGTGTGTGTTGGAAATAGTTCGTAATGAAAAGAAAAATTTGAAAGGGGAGCCACTGAGAAGGAACCTTTTGTCCCCCACTGCGCCTGACAGCGCAGCCTCGCGCTGGAATCGTTTGTCACCGTGAAGCTCGGCTACCCAGACCTCATCAAGAACAAACACAGCCTTTCAAAGTCACCTTTGGCAGAGCCAGAAGCCGGCTCTGCAAGCTGTCGCCTTCCGCCCCGCCTGTTGTTAAGTGGGGGTTCTGCTCAGCGAGACGGCAGGTTTTAGCTCCTGGAGAACAGCGGGCCCCCCACCTCTGGATCGCCCCTCCCCAGCGTTCTGTCCCCTTTTGGGGGGGGAGGGGTGACATCACATCAAATGGACCCCATGGACCACATGCCGCATCAGAGAAGATTTAAAGCAAACAAAAGGAAGATGGTCAAATACACAGCGCGTACAAGCCCACGTGTGCATGTTCCCCTCACATCACACGTGTGTGAGAGAGAACGAGTGTCCGCCATCGCTGACTCACTGGGGATTCATCGGCCATGGCCAGTCCTCCTTCGGGCCAGAAGTCGCCTCTTCCTTGTAAAAAGAGAGGCTAGATCAGCAGTGCCCACTCCTGGCCCACCGCCAACAGATGTCTCTTCCGCAGGTTAGGAACCTGCCTGTTTTTGCAATTCCCCGCTCATTTCATGGTCTTTAGATCTGCACTGTGGAGACCCCGAGGCCTGAATATATGGAGTCTGTGGCCTCCCTGGGCTCAGAGGGGCTGACTCAGAGGGAAAGGAGGATGGAGGGAAGATTGCCAGCCTGGGGACCAGGAACCCCGGGACCAGCTCCAGCTGAGCACCGCCTGGGGAGTCACCCTTCTCTGGGCCTCATCTGTAAGCCGGGAGCTGGGCCTGATGCTGCGCCGAGGCCCCGAGCTTTGAGATCCTGCACACTGTAAAAGGGTGGGAGGCAAAATATTGAGCACCTGGTCACCTCTTCCCCCAGCCAGGGCTGACGGCTTGTTTGACGTGTGTTTGATTTCTCACAGGCGGGTCTGAATCTTAGGCCTGTGTCTCCCCTGGGTGATGTCATCTGAGCCCCAGGTCTCACCTAGCACTCAAGAGAGGGATCTTTACAAAGAAGGCACGTGGGTTCAAGATGTGACAGCATGGAGGGGTCTGTGCGTGTGTGTTCAGCCAGAGGAAACCCACATGCCTAGCCTGCGAAGCCCTTGGTCCCAGAAAAACTCTATGTAATCACAGAATTCAGCCCAAATGAATATACCCAAATTAACCGGAGTTTTCTTCTTTCCTGTAATTAACGAGGTTACAGAGCCTGTAGTACACCTGTCTACCTTCCAGATGGATGATGACATGGGAACACACTTGTGCACACACTCAGGCACACACAGAGTTCAATGGAAAGACATCAAGTCACCCAGAGAATGGGGTTTTTGCAGGTAGGTCCCGCCTACAGACAACCCTGTGCCCTGCTCCACCCTCACCTGACTAACCCCACCTTCTGAGGACCACCCCACGGATACTGGGCATTCCCCTGTCCCTCTCTCTCTCATAGGAGGAAGGGAAGACACATCCACAGACTGACCAAGACCTGCTGGGCACTGAATGCTTTATGTTACCTAACTAGGCAGGTGGTATAGCTGAGGAGAAATTCAAAAGTGCCAGAATATTCTTGCTATACAAATTCTTCTTCTTCTTTTTTTTTTTTTTTTTTGGTGAGGAAGATTGGGCCTGAGCTAACATCTATTGCCAGTCTTCCTTTTTTTGCTTGAGGAAGATTGTCGCTGAGCTAACATCTATACCAGTCTTCCTCTATTTTGTGTGTGGGATGCCACCATAGCATGGCTTGATGAGTGGTGTGTGGGTCAAGCACCCAAGATCCAAACCAGCGAACCCCAGGCTACTGAAGTGGAGCACACAAAACTTAACCACTACGCCACTGGGCCAGCCCCAGACTTTTCTGTTTTTAAAAAAATATTCTTTCCTAACTGAAGTTCTTTCAGTGTGGCAGGATTATACATTTTGTTCTTCTCCTCCCTTTTTTTTTTTTTTTTTTTTTTTGCTTATCTGTATTTTCAACTCTTTTTACAATAACCATGCAGCGCTGTCTCCATAGAGACTGCAGCACTATTTCCATTTGGGGCCAGATAATGCTTTGCCGCTTGGCACCATCCTATGTGCTGCAGGACGTTTAGCAGCATCTTGGTCTCTACCCGCTAGCTGCCGGGAGCATCCCCCCAGTTGTGACAACCAAAAATGTCTCCAGTCATTGTCAGATGGCTCCTGGAAGACAGAATCACCTCCAGTTGGGAAGTTTTGCTTGAACTTAGACCTACTAAGACTGAGGTTGGGTAGTTAGAGAGCTAAAGGAAGACCGGGAGAGAGTAAAGACAATAATTAGCAGGTATTCAGTGTTTTCCAAGTGCCAGGTACCATGCACCACACTTTCCAGGTGTCACCTCATCTAATTTCCACAAGAATTCAATGAGAAAGCCCTCTGACCATCCCCATCCCAGAGAGGCTGAATGACTTGTCCGAAGTCATACAGCTATGAAGAGAGAGCGTCGTGAAAACCAGGAGGAATGAGTTTCAGGAAGAAAGGAGGAGCTGGCTCAGTGGTGCAGCAGTTAAGTGCGCATCCGCTTCTCAGAGGCCCGGGGTTCGCTGGTTCGGATCCCAGGTGCGGACACGGTGCCGCTTGGCAAGCCATGCTGTGGCAGGCATCCCACATATAAAGTAGAGGAAGATGGGCCTGAATGTTAGCTCAGGGCCAGTCTTCCTCAGCAAAAAGAGGAGGATTGGCAGCAGATGTTAGCTCAGGGCTGGTCCTCCTCAAAAAAAAAAAAAAAGAAGAAGAAAAAGAAAGGAGCCATCAGCAGTCAAAGACTGTAAGATGCTCTTTAAAATGAATATAAGTGGTACAACAACAAATTAGATAACTTGAGTGAAATGGACAAATTCTTAGAAAGACACAAACTAGCTAAACTGACTCTAGAAGAAATAGAAAACCTAAACACACCTACAACAAGTAAAGAGGTTGAATGAGTCATGAGAATACTACCCTCAAAGACAAGTCCAGACCCGGATGCCTTCACTGGTGACTTCCACCAGATTCTTAAAGAATTACCACCGGTTCTTCACAAATTCTTCCAAAACATAGAAGAGGAGAGAACACTTACAAACTCATTCTAGGAGGTCAGTATTACCCTGATACCAAAACTGTATAAAAACATCACAAGAAAAGAAACCACAGAGCAAGATTTCTTATGAATAGAAACGCAAAAATCCTCGACAAAATACTAGCAAACCAAATCCAGCAACATATAGAAAGGATTATACGCCATGACCGAGTGAGGTTTATCCCAGGAAT